CTATTATGAATATTTGTGATCACATTAGCACTGTGCAAGAGCTGAAACCCATGTGTGATGATAGATCCGGAGAACTGATACCTCCCTCACAATGTCCACCAGGTCAAAAGTGGTCGGAATGTGCCAATCAATGTGAACGTAGCTGTCACTATTATGGAATGGTGAGTGGGACAGCCAGATTTCCAAATGGAATTTATTCGACAACAAAATTTTAATTTCAGGTCTTGATTAAACGTGGCCTCTGCAAAGAGGGTGAACTTTGCAAACCCGGCTGTGTGCCGGCTGCGCGCCCTGAATGTGCTGAGGGTAAATTTTGGCGTGATGAAAACACTTGTGTTGAGGCTGATGCTTGCCCATGCATGGACAAAACGGAAAAATATGTCCAGCCTCACATGCCATTTATTGGAGAATGGGAAGTATGTCAGTGTTTGGATAATGCCTATACTTGCTTGCCCAATAGAGTTGAGGAAGTTGTTACCGAACCACCATCAGAGCCAGAACCCGAGGTGGAGGTTGTTACCCTCTTCCCTGTTACAGTTTCACCACCCAAGAAATGTAATCCTGAATTGTAAGTTTATGACAAATTTTCAAATACATCTGTCGGATTTAAAAATTCCGTTTGAATTTGTTTTCAGTATGGTCCCAGTCATTGAGGCTGATGAACCCTTGCCAGATTCTATATTCAAGGCCAATACTTCATTGGGTCCCAAATATGCTCCCGAAATGGCTCGCCTTACAGATAGTCCTTCGGAGAAGTCTGGTGCCTGGTCTCCCATGATCAATGATCAAAATCAATATTTGGAAATTGATTTGCCCCATCCTGAGCCATTGTATGGTGTTGTTATGGCCGGCAGTCCCGACTTCGATAATTATGTTACACTGTTCAAGGTAAGTCAAAGGATATGTCAGATAGTTGGTTTGAAAAGAAAAAGAAAGGGAATGTCGAAACTTTATCTGGAGGGTATACTCTAGGCTTGTTATAATAATTTCATATAAGTGGATCCATGTGCCCTTCATGTGCCTAACAGTATTATCCTCAGCAGTTTTTTGTGGGTTATAGTCAATTAACTTATTATTATCATTTATTGTCCCCTACCCCTTTCAGATCTTCTACAGTCACGATGGTGAAGCATATCACGCCCTTAACGATGAAACCGATAAACCACAATTATTCAATGGCCCTCAAGATGCCCGTACCCCCGCTAAGACCCTCTTCAAAATACCCATTGAGGCGAAATCTTTGAAAATCTATCCCCTCAAATGGCACAACTCCATTGCTATGCGTGTTGAACTTTTGGGTTGCAATCATGCCGAAGTTACCACCCTGAAACCACAAACCACCCCCTTCACCGAACATCCCATTCATGCCGAAGATGAAATCGAATGTACCGATAAGATGGGTGTAGAAAATAATGAAATGAGTCCAAGACAAGTGAAGGCCAGTACCGTATGGAGTCTACCCAAACCAGCTAAGAAACCAAGATTGATTGATTTACTGAAACTATCATCACCTGTAGGCTGGCGTCCAGCTCTGAATACACCCAATGAATATATTGAATTTGATTTCTTGGAACCCCGCAACATTTCTGGTTTCACCACCAAGGGTGGTCCAGATGGTTGGGTTACTGGCTATAAGGTTATGTTCTCGAAGAATAAACTGATATGGAATAAGGTATTGGATGTTGATGGTCAGCCACGTATATTCCCCGGTAATCATGATAAGGATACCGAACAGACCAATTATTTTAAGACCCCAATTTTGACGCAATACATTAAATTGGTGCCGGCTAAATATGAACAGAATATTAATATGCGTGTTGAGCCATTGGGTTGTTTCGAGAAATATCGTAAGTTAATATCGTAAATTTCACATTGGAATTTTTCTTCTATTTTCCGATATTTTTATCCCCAGCCATTGTCAGCGAAAATATTGTGGAACTTGAAACACCCAAACCAAGCAAATGTTTGGTATGCGAGGGCATTGTTGATGCCTCCACCACCGATGGTAATTGCAAGTGCAAGGATAACCTGTTCTGGGATGGCAACAAGTGTGTGCCCAGCAATTTGTGTCCTTGTGTGGAGAACTATATACCGTGAGTCAGAGATACTATTTTTTTGGTATCTATTTTCCTTATCCCTATTTTCTTGTAGCTACCCCATTGGTTCGACCTTTGAGAATAAACTTTGCGAAGAGTGTACCTGTGTTTTGGGTGGCCATAGCAGCTGTAAACCCAAGAAGTGTCCGCCATGCAAGGAACCCGATCAACGTCCCATTGTGGGAACTGGCTGCTATTGCAAGTGTGAACCTTGTCCCAAACATCAAAAGTTGTGTCCTTCCAGTGGTGATTGCATTGCTGAGGCCTTGTGGTGTAATGGTATTAAGGATTGTGCCGATGATGAAGATGCCACCTGTTCGAATGTCATACATGTCAATAATAAGCCCAATGTGACAACAACAGAAAGTAAGTGAATCAGTTCTGAATTTTTTGATATCATTTCAAAAATGTTCCCATTATGATTTCAGCCGAAGTCATTAGCTGCCCCGTGCCAGAGTGTCCACCCAAAATGAAGATGAAAATCACCGAAAAGAAACAAAGGAAAATGTCCAGCATGTTCTCTTCCACGTAAGTTCCCCCTAATAAAATATCTAATTGGCATCCCACCTAACCTAACCTCTTACCCTTTTTCCCCATTTAGTTTCACCAAAAAGGTCACTGTTAATCGCGATGAAGATGGCAAAGTCACCAAGACTAAAGTTATTACCTCATCAGAGGAGTTCTTGGATCGTCCCTCAAATGAATTGGAAATTGTCAAGGAGGAAGATTGCGCGGAATTCACCTGTGTTCCCATTAAAGAAGTTGTCGTACAGAAAAATGTCACTAAGTCTTGTCCCCCACCTGTATGCCCTGAGAAATATGTTGTTGAATTGGATATGTCTTCGACCAAGCCTGGTGATTGTCCACCCTATACATGTGTCCTCAAGCCCAGCAAAGATGATTTCTGTGAAATTAGTGGCAAAATGTTCAGAACATTTGATGGCACCGAATTCAATTATGAAACATGCAGTCATATTTTGGCCAGAGATTTGTTGAACTCATCGTGGGTTATATCAGGTAAGAGGGGAGATTAAGGGAGTTTCAATTTGTATATATAGAATATCGTAAAGAGAATATCGTATAAATGACAGCTGTACATATCGTGAAAATCCGTATATACGTCTGCTATATATAGAATATCGTAAATTTGTCTTCTATAGACATTGAGGATTGAAAAAAATGTTTTCTGTAAATATAATATCTTATTAAGGTCTTCTATTCGTAGGATACCGCATATAGGACTTCTGTACACAGAATACCGTAAATATACATAGAATGTCGTAAATTGGTCTTCTATACATGAAAGTCCGTATTTAGGTCTCCCATACTTAGAGTACTACTCAAAGTTTTTATTATAAATTAAATATCTCGATTTTAATTTTTCAAGATTTTCAATGGGCTGGTAAATCAATACCAATGCTTGTTAAGGTTTGTAACTTTGCACATATATATTTGAAGATTTAAAAAAGAAGAAAAATAATTTACAAAAAATTTTTGTTGTTGTTTTGTTGTAGTTTTTTGTAATTAAAGAAAAGTCCTTATTTTGGATGGCGGGCATGATAACTCCACACTGGATCATCGGAATCCGAAAATTCCAACGGTGTTAGAAAGAGTACATGTCTGGCTCTCGTATGAACTAGGATTATTGACCTCGCTCTAAAATTAACAAAATGGCGGACCTTTGAAAAAATATTTTTGGAAAATCGCCGATTTTTGACCAAAAATCAAGTTAACAAATAGGAAGATCTTCACCGATTGGCTTTATCCTAGTTCATACGAGAGCTATACACTACCAGAGAAACGTTGCAAAATTTGGAACCGATTGGATTATTAGTTTTTGAGTTATCGTGCCCGCCATTCGCAAAAAAATGTTTAGAGAAAAACGCGTTTAAAGTTTGAGAAGCCCTTCAGTCGTCACTTGATGCTGACACAATAAATCGGATATATCTTCAAGAGTTCTTGAGATTTTTACTTGAAATTTTGTAGAGACCTTCTTTAATCAGTGTTGATTCGAATTATATAAACAAAAATTTTGACCCCGAGAATGGGGGGGGTCCCCTTAAATATCGAATTTATGCCTTCTATTTGTAGGATGACCTATGTCTAGATAACCTATATCTACCGTACACAGAATACCACATATAGATTTCCTAAATATGGGATATCATATAGGCCTTCTATACCCAAAAGACCGCATACGATACGATTTATATTCACATATTTAGTTCTCCTCTGCTTATAAGACGTTCTACAGATTGAAGATCTGTGGATTGTTTAAAGGCAGAAATCCTTTAGCAGGTCTTCTATAACCAGAAGACCTTCAGAAGTCCATCCGTAGACAGAAAACCTCCGCCAGGTCTTCTATGTACAGAAGTCCCTCAGCAGCTCTACTGTTGACAGAAATCTTTGTTTATAGGCGGAAATCCTTTAGCAGGTCTTCTATAATCAGAAGACCTTCAGAAGTCTATCCGCAGAGAGAAAACCTCCGTCAGGTCTTCTATGGACAGAAGTCCCTCAGCAGCTCTACTGTTGACAGAAATCTTTTAGAAATCCATCTATCGATGGAAGTAATTTAATAGTTCTTCTGTATCCATAAGACTTTCAGTAGCTCTTTTATAAGCGAAAGGCCTCATATAGTTCTTGTACAATTGTGAAGGTCTTCTATAGTCCAGAATAAGCTTTACTGTTGTCCTATAAATATAAGTTCCTCAGGAGTTTTACATAAAAGTCATTTTGCATCAGAAGATCGCATATACGATTTCTATTCACATATATAGGTCTCCTCTACTTATAAGACGTTCTAAAGATAAAAGATCTTCTGTATTACTTCTGTGGATTGTCTACAAGAAGAAATTCTTTAGCAGGTCTTTTATAGGCAGAAGATCTTAAGAAGCCCATGCCTAGACAGAAAACCTCCGTCAGGTCTTCTATGGACAGAAGTCCCTCAGCACTTCAACTGTTGACAGAAATAATTCAGAAGTTATTCTATCGATGTAAGTGCCTCAGCAGTTCTTTTGTATTCATACGACTCTAGAAGCTCTTCTAAAAGCGGATGACCTCGTAAAGATCTTGTATAATTTTAAGACCTTCTATCGTTCAGAATATCCTCGACAGTTGCCCTATAAATATTAGTCATCTTATAAATATTATAAGACGTTCTACAGATAGAAGATCTTCTGCACTACTTCTGTGAATTGTCTACAGACAGAAATCAATTAGCAGATCTTCCAAAAGACAGCAAGCTTTATCAGACAAGAATCCTTCAGCAGATCTTCTATAGCCGAAAGAACTTAAGAAGTCCTGCGTAAACAGGAGACCTCCGGCAGCTCTACTGTTTATACAGGTCCTGGATATATATATACGGTAGACAGGTCTCCTCAGAATTTCCTATATATAACATTATATATGTCTTCGAATATATAACATAGTATATAAGAATTAAATGTCGAATACAGATATTCTATAATACCAATATCATGGAATATCGTACATAGGTATTCTATTCATAGTAGACCTATATAATTACGCATATAGTTTTCTTTAGAGTGAAAGTATCTTCTAAAAATTTTTATTTTTTTTTCTGCTCCTTTCAGTCCACTTGGAGTGCACGGATGAAACACGTAAGGTGTGCCGCAAGACCATAACCATTAAGGATACGGTGCGTGGTGCCACATTGATCGTGAAGCCTCGCAAACGTTTGAATTTCAATGGTTTCGATTACACAGTACCACAATTGATTAACTCCCCAATTTGTAAGGCATCATTTGTCGTCTCACAAGTTGGTGATACGGTTATGGTTGTCTCACCCGAACGTGGTTTCTGGGTACGTTACGATGATATTGGCTATATTCGAATTGGTGTTTCTTCGAAATTCATCAAAACTGTTGATGGTCTATGCGGCTACTATGATGGTAATGGTAGCAATGATAAGCGTTCTCCGGATGGTACGCTAATGACAAATACTGCGAAGTTTGGTGACAGCTGGTTTGACAACAAAACACCCAAGGATCAATGTTATCCACAGACATGTCCATTGAAAATGCGTACACAGGCATTGACATTGTGTAATTCCATTAAGTGAGTACTAGGAGAGGTGGATTTGTGAATCGCAATTTTTTGAATTTTCTAATTTTTTGTGTTTGTTTGTGTGTGTGTTTTTTCTTCCCCTTAGGTTTGATGAATTCATCAATTGCAAAAAATCCGTTAGCTACAAACCATTCGCCAGTAAATGTGTTGAGACAACATGCGAATGTCTGCGTGTCCACAATGGTGATGTGAAGAAATGTCGCTGTAATCTAATGGAGGATTATGTCAAACAATGTTTGGCTGTTAGTCCCAATGTGAAATTGGATACCTGGAGAGCCAAGCATCAATGTGGTAAGTTAAAAGGAAAGAATTAAAAAAAATGGAAACATTTTCTGATTCTGAAATTTGTGTTTTTTTAGAAATTGCCTGCCCTGCACCATTTGTCCATTCGGATTGTTATAAACGCCGCTGTGAGCCATCGTGTGATACTTTGAATACCGACGATTGCCCCGTCATTTCGGATGTTTGCTTTGCCGGTTGTTATTGTCCTGAGGGTACGGTGCGCAAGGGTGAAACTTGTGTCCCCATTTCCGAGTGCAAGGATTGTGTCTGCGATACAATTGGTGCTAAGAAATATTTCACCTACGATCGTAAAGATTTCAATTTCAATGGCAATTGTACTTATTTGTTGTCGCGAGATATTGTCCTGCCCGGTGTTCATACCTTCCAGGTGAGTAATGGAAAAAGGTGTCAAAGAGACATATATTCTTCTTATATACTAAGAAGATCGCATATCGGATTTCTATTTGCATATTTAGGTCTCCTCTACTTACAAGACATTCTACAGACAGGCGACTTGGTTACTTCCAAAGAGACATATATTCTTCTTATATACTCAGAAGATCGCATATCGGATTTCTATTTGCATATTTAGGTCTCCTCTACTTACAAGACATTCTACAGATAGGAGATGTTCTGCACTACTTCAGTGGATTGTCTACAGCCAAAAAAGCTTTAGCAGGTCTTCTAAAGACAGAAAAGCTTTTTGCAAGCCTTCTACAGACTGAAATACTTTAGCAGGCCTTTAATAGCCGGAATACCTTAAGAAGTCCATTCGTAGATATTTCTTCTGTGGACAGAAGGCCCTTAGGTGCTCACTTGTTGACAAAAATCCTTCAGAAGTTATTTTATCGACGGAAGTGCTTTAGCAGTTCTTCTATATTCATAAATCCCTCAGAGTTATTGTATAAGCGGATTTAAGGCCTTCTTTTACATATTTAAGGCTTTCTATATGTAAATCCCTCCCTATAAATATAAATCCCTCACGAGTTTTATATAAAATTCCTTCTGCATCAGAAGGACTCCTCCGACCTTCAACAAGTCTTCTGCACTATTTCTGTGAATTGTCTACAGCGAGAAAAGCTTTAGCAGGTCTTATAGAGACAAAAATCCTTTAGCAGGTCTTCTATAACCAAAGACCTTAAGAACTCCATACGTAGACAGATGGTCTGTAGCAGCTCTATTGTGGATAAAAGTGCTTCAGCAACTCTATTGTTGACAGAAGTTCAACATAAGTTTTTCTATCGCTGCAAGTTCTTCGGCATTCATAAATCAGAGCAGAATGTTCAGAACTGTAGAGTACTGTTCTTCGGACGACATACAAATGCAGAAGACCATCATCATCTCTTCTACAGGCAGAAAACCTTTAACAGCCCTTGTAAAGACAAGTGAACTTCGGCAGCTCTTCTATAGGTATAATACGTTCAGCAGACCTTCCGCTTGTAGAAGCACTCTTTCAGACAAGAAATCTTCAACGAATAAAATCTTTTCGCCGCCCTCTCTATAGCCAGAAGACCTTCAGAAGCTATTCTACAGGCCTTTATAAGACCCTCATCAACACTTCAGAAGCAGAATTCATTTTAATCATATTTTCAGCTGGTTCTCTGATTCCAGAAGAGTCGTTCTTCTCTAGATACAGGAACTTTAGCAGCTCTTCTATAGTCAAATGACCAGCTTTTATGTACACGTAAGACCATCTATAGACAAAAGACCTTCAAGGCTTATAATAAACACAAGTCCCTTTCTAAAAATACCTCCAACAGACCTTCAGCCGTCCGTAGACGTATTTAGCCCACAGGTCTCTTATAGACAGAATAGTCAGATTCCTTTCTGTAGAAAGTTCAACTTCAGAAACTCATCTATTAACAGAAGATCCCTATCAACACTTCTATAAATCCTTCTGTTATGTGGACTGTAGCTATAGGAGCTATACTATAGGCAT